GGGTAAAATGACTAGCGAATGAAACAAGGTCGGGAAAACAAAGGGTTTTGGGAGGTGGCAGTGGTCGCGACCTCGAATTACGGATCGCGTGATGGACTCCAGGCCGACCCTTTCGCTGTCCTTCGGCCATTAGTGTTCTGGGAACAGCTGGCGATTGCCAAGGACACGATCGAATGACAAGTCACTAGGTTAAGTCAACAGAGGTGAGCTCTTTGAGCTCGATGACAATGATCCTCATTGTCCACGTTATTCCCGCAAAGCGGGTTGACAGTTAATGGGAATTATGCAAAGAAAGTGGAATGAAGTCATCCCCTAGCATTTTCTGCAACCCTCCATCTCTCTTGTCTTGTTTTGTGGTCTAATTGCTTCAAAAGTTACATGTACAAGGCTTTTTTCCTCGAAAAATTCGACCCATTGTTGGAAAGAGACCGGAGTACACCCTCGCTTAAGCTGAGGAGCCAGAGTTCAACCGGCAGTACTCCTTTCACTGGAAATGTGGATTTAGGGCACAAGTGAATATCCTTCTACTACCATAACTAATACCCATAACTAACTACAGAAATATATGATCTGCTCCACTTTGGAGGCATGCAAGTAAAATTAATCTTGGCATCGATTTCGATTTGTTACAGACTCAGCAACTAAACTATCGGAAGAGTGCTATCAGTATATCAACAGGAATCGAAAAAAATAGAGAGTTGATTTAAGGCAACTGTCTGTCAACGCTGATCCAAAACTAAAACAGCTTTGGAAGCAGACGATAGCCCTAGTATTTCGACGAACGCGGCCACCCATCTAAGCCGAGCTTGAAGGGACAGCTGGGGCAGGGGCGGAGCGACAGCTTGGTTTGGACTCATGCGAGAGGACACAAAGACTAGTCAAAGGTTAGCGTAAATCTAGACAGCACGTCTGCAGCGGAGGTTCACCCTCGCTCATCAGCTGACTGACTGACAACAACCACCACCCTCTCCCCGCTCTGCAGAATGCGCAACGAGAGGGAGACCATCAACATCGCCTTACCCGCAAATCAATAGTGTGCAGTAGAGCGTGTTTGCAAGCCCGTCCCATAACGATTGCTCGTTCAACTCTACTGAGCAGTAAACACCGCGATAGTAAGAGTTATTAGTTTTGTTATTGAAGACAGCAAGGGTTGTAAGAATAGGCACGGATACGGTGGGTCATTTTTTCATTTAATGTACTCCCTACTGTCAAAAACATTTTACTGGATAATGGCGATTCTTCAATATTCAGATAACCCTTCAGTTTTATTTTCTGTTTCTGAATCCAGCACAACCTCTATGGCATCACTAAAATTATGACGAATAAAGGATAAAGGATAAAGCATTTGCCGTTGATCAATCCCTTTTTGGGATGCGGCACGCATTCTACTTCCATTTGTACATTCGTAGTGGCGTTTGAATGCGATGTGGGCCTATACAATGACTTGCGGGGGCCAGCCGATGTACAAGTCAGTGTTTTTATCCTCCCAGACAAGTCTGGTACCAATTAACCGACCCCGGAGGGATGGAAGGCTTGGTTGGCCCGGGCGACTCACGACCCAGGATTTGATCCCCGGACCGCTCGCGTGGTAAGCGTGCCACTTGCCACTACACCACTTCCGCCCACTTGTAAATTTTATACATGCGAGCACATGGGGAATGAGAAAAAAGTCGAACTAAACAACTCTTCTTGGCAACATCAACACAACACACAAAAATAAAACAAACTGAAAACGCTGAAAAATGCAAAAACTTAGGATAAGCCATGCAGAATATTCGTAGTGCGGAACAGAGCTTTAAATTTGCAGGAGGCCGAAAATTGAACAACCCTGCACATCTTTATGTACTGTACCATGTGCGAGAACAAAAGCTCGAGTGAGACAGCAGCAACAGTGCTAAAAGTAATGTATGGAAAGCGGAAATGAGAACAAGTGCTTATGGCTAAATCTATCAGCGATAGCACAGTGAGTGGCAAAAAGGTTCAGTTACTCTACTGTTCAGACTTTTCATTTAATATTGTGCAATATTACGTTTCAGAAACCCCATGTAAAGAGCAGAATACACTAGAAAGGCAGAGTCATAATATTAGGTGGCATTTGAGATCGAGATTGCAAGATGAAACACACAGTGAAGAATGGAGGACCACATACATACATAGTTCCATCTCCGCAACCGACTGTGCGTAGGCCTTTATTTCACGATTTGGTTCCGCTTTTGATTTCCATGGAATAATGAAGATCTATAGTAATCTTCTTTCGCTAACGCGAACTGCAGCGTTAAAACAGCAGTTAACAAACAAAACAAGTCAAAATCTATAGTAATCGTTATTCGGCTAGGTACGTACGACCCCAATCCTCGGTAAGCTTATGCTATTTTTACTTTCAATGGTTTTACCTCTAGCCAACCAGTTGTTATCTTACGAAGTAAAACAACCGTGCCAACCAATTATTATCGTACGAAGTAAAACAACCGTGCGCAGATAATGAAGGCAACTGGTTCATAGGGGGATAGGGGCTACAGCTCCATGCCGAAATAAAATGGTGTGACAGCAGATCTGAAAAAATAATATTTTTTGACACTCGAGCACACTTCGAAATGGTCCCACATAGAAACATGGGTGCTCGCGTGAAAGGAACAGGAAACACGACAGCATCAGAGATTGCCCGCAGCGTACATAAAGCGTAAACAAGAGCGTGAGTACGCAAATGAAAGCACTACGCGCAAATAACCCTCGTGACAGAGAAAGAGGCGAAAACAGGCGACGAGAAAGAGAGGGTTGGAGTGCGAACAGATCATAGGACTTCCATAGGTCCGTCGGACTTGCAACAGACCAAACATCAATCAAATATAAGTACGGCATATTATGGAGAGAGATCAAACATCACCTGCGATGTTGCTATGCCGCGCCAGCATTTAACCTTTGGTAAAGAGGCAGGATCCACTACCAGTGGGAGCACTTCAGGTGGAGGTGCTTCATAGAGCAGTAAAATCTGTAGAAAACTTGTTTTTGTGCGACACTGCTGTCTCTTCACCAGTGGAAACAAACCTACTGCGTGTGGCAACGTCACAGTGTTGGTTAGTTAAGCACTTGTTTGTTACTTACTGTACAGTTAGCGACTTGTTACAGTTATACCACGATATTCTTCTAGTGTATGAGTGTTTAGAAAGTGCTCATAAACTCGGAGAATACAGTAAGCAGAGGAGGTGTAACGGCAGTAACCTTGAGCTCGAGTCGGGTATGACGTTAGAATGGAACTTGCCCAGACCGACCGAGTCTTCCGCCTTTGAAAGGGTTGGTCCTATATTTGTCTGCAAGTGCGAAAACGTCGTGTACCAGCTAACCTCACAATTTACTGCATGAGCCAGACCGCATTCAAATACTGCTGCAACTTTGAGTGGAAATGAGTTGCATGGCGCGCAATTAGAACAACTGCTTCATTCTAAGCGTATGGCGGGTAGAAGTTAGCGCATGGTGTAAAAAAGCAAAAAAGACCTGCACAGCAGGCACTGTACCGCTCTTTTACAACACTTTACTGGCAGATGCTGGATTACCTATTTAAGGTACTTAGGCGACCCGTCCGTCGCCTTGGCGGTTGGCCTTGCGCGGGTCCCAACTTCTCCATTGTTCTCGATCTTGAGCTTAGTTGTCCAGTGAATGATCACCTTAAGGGACACAGGATCATATACGTTGTTACGATATGCCAGAGAGTCTGCCCAACGTACAGGAGGACGGCCAGGCGGTCGTTTCTTTTCGCGCGGGTACCACCGCGCAGTAGTGGTGCTCCATCGCCCGTCATTTCTTCTCATCAAGTGTCCAGCAAATCTGTGTTTTGCTTCATCGATGTGGAGGAGGATATCTTTGACTCTTGACATAGCTCTGACATCAGAGTTATGAAGCTGCAATTCTTGCTGTCGACTCAACATCAGACCTTGATGGATTAGAAAAAGATGCTAAATTAGAAACCCTAAATGGCAGCGTGGAACAAGGAGCATGGACTATGGACTCCGAAATTGCAAAAATTGTAACACCATAAGGCTAGGAGGCGTGCGAGGAAAACGTGCCAATATTGCCAATAAAGTTGGGGATTATGTCCGTCTCTCGCGGAGTAGTGGTTGTACATAGACCTA